AATAAAAGAGCAACTTGTGGCTCCCTATATGTTAAAACTAAAAAATGTTACAAAATAAGAGAGGGATAGTAGATCCCCAGCTAAAAAACAAAAATACATTATAGTCCTAGGGGTTCCAAAATCCACAGTACAACGCAACGCAAAAAAAATAAGGAAGTACGAAAAGATACATCAAAACTAAAAAACAAGTGACTCAAAATAAATAAACTTCAAGCAGCTCCAGCCAATCCTTTCCTGCGCCAATCTGCATACATATATATATATATATACATACATACATACATACATATATATATATATATATATATAGATTGATACATACATACATGCATATACATATATAGATAAATATATACATATATATACATGCATATACATATACAATATAATTATAAATAAATCTATACATATACATACATACATGCATATACATATATACATAAATATATACATATATATACATGCATATACATAATATGCCGTACGAATTTGCCAGGACTAGTGCTGAAAAGGGTTAGTATTCATGTAAATTGATTTCGATATCCTATAATTTAACTTTTAGTCAGTAGAAAGATGGATGTAGTTATATATTAATGTATTTATATATCGATATCTATATCTATACATATATAGATATCTATATTTATATTTATACATATATATAGATATCTATATCTATATACATAAATACATAGATACATATATTGATAGAAATATACATATGTAGATATCTATATCTATATCTATAGCTTTACATGTATATATCTATATCATATCTCTATATATAGATAGATATCAATATATATTTATATATATATATCTCCTATTTCTACATATCGCCTATTATTGATGTTGCTCTCTATTGAAGATTGTCTAACATTTGCAATCATTGACATCTGATACCTACCTTCCCAGCTGCCCATCAAGGAAATGATAAATTGTGATCATCATCTAACCCTCAACATTCACGATATATATAATTTAAAACCTGTTGATAATTGACCTCCATGAGCTAAAATTTATAACAAATTAGAAATCTCCAGACTCATACTTCCAACACAAAATATGTCTACTACAAAGTACGGCTAATATATTATTTTACTATTTTCTTTATTTATGAAGATGTGAATTATTTATAATATTTGACATACACTAGTGTAATTATTTAATTAAGACTACACTTTGCTTGTTTTTCCCTAATCGACATTTTCTCGTAAAAAATCATAAAATGATCCACTCTCCGTTTATTTATTCGGGTATAAGATTGTCGTTCAATGATAAGATGATAAACTCTTACGCGACACTACTAATATAACAACACATAATAATATTTTTTAATTATAAAACAAAATAAAATAAAATAAATGAAGTCAGTTATTTTATTTAATGTTTTTAGCTGCTTTTACTAAATTCTACTCATCCCACTTTATAGAAAAAATAAAATCTGTAAATTAAAATATTATATTTACGTACAAAATTTAGATTTAACTCGCAGGCGCAAATAAAAAAAAAAGGAATCCTAATTTCTATGATAAGGGGTGTATATTTGGTCTGTTTGATCAACAAATTAGTCAGAGATATAATATGTATTTGGACAAAATCAAAATTTTTTGAAAACAAGTTATAATTTCAATGTGTAAAATAAATAATATTTATATTTTGCTTTTTATAACTTAAAATTATTTAGTTTTTATTTATTTATCAATTTAATAAAAAAAATTAAACCAGCCTTATAAAATAAAAATAAAATAAAAATTATATTAAATATTTTAACTGAATTAAATCAATCAGAGAGACGGGCGAAAATGCGACCACCGCAGTTCTTACCGGCAACATCGATAAATAAGCCAAGGGAAAGTGTGCACGTATGAGTATCGATGCAGCCATGCGTCGATATCTGTCGTTTATCGAACTCAAATACGGCGGCGCAGTTCAGCAGTTTTGCGTCCTGATTCGTTTGCATCGCTTCCTGGACTCTTCTTCTTCCCCTGAGGAGGAAGGAAATAAGTGAGACGTAGCTCCTTACCGAATATTCTGCTTGCTGCCCTCCTTCGATCGTGTCGTTCTAGGGTTCCGGTGATGGCCAGCGGCAGTGGAAGCGGTTACTGTGGAGGAAGGATGGTTGGGGACTACATATTCGGCCGTCAGATCGGCTCAGGATCGTTCTCGGTGGTGTGGTTGGCGCGGCACCGCGTGCACGGCGTGGAGGTGGCGATTAAAGAGATCGTGATGGAGAGGCTCAGCAAGAAGCTCCAGGAAAGCCTTCTCTCCGAGATTGTTATCCTGAAGCGCATCAAGCATCCCAATATCATCGCAATGCACGATATCATCAAGGTCCGTTTCCATCCTGTGCGCTTATTCACTCAACCTCCATGCTTCTTTTCTAGTTCTTTTCAGCTGTTGCGTTTTTTAATTTTTATATTTTAAATCGAAATCTTTTATCTGTTTTTTCACCTGATACCGTTTAGGGTTTCTAGAAGGTGTTTAAAAAGTGGATTTAGTAAGGATGTGGTTGTAGGATGGTACGAGAATAAAAAGAGTGCTGTTCTACGATGTTTGGAGGAAGATAAACGTCGCTCGGTGGCTATCTCGGTTGAAAACAGCTGAGAGAACTCGAAAACACTGATGAACAGACTAAGGAGGATGTTCTACCACCTGTTCTTGAGCAAGATACGGACACATCACTTGCAAAATGAAAAAAATACATATATATGAAAAGCATAAAACAGAGAACAACATCTCCAAACACAATAATGATAGCAAAAGTCCCCAAAGAAAATTCAATATATGACTAGTCATCCCCTCAGAAATAAACCTAATTTGGAAGAAATTAATAACAAATATTTCTAGAAAAAGAAAATGATTATGTTGAATTGATAACGGGGGCAAAAATCCCATGAAGAAACTTTCACGGGTGGGACTCGAGTTAGACCCGTTCTGCGATCGTGAGAACGTAGAATCTGCTATTCCGTGAGATTCTGCTCTTTGCAGAACCCATATCTCGCGTCATTCTCCTCGATTAGGAGAGATTTCACCTTCTTTGTTAGAAACGATCTCACACCAACATAATAAAGTAATCTTTTTGTCTTGTTTGAGATAGTCCCGCTATAAAATTTATCTTCACGTCCATTTAATGAACTCTAAAACACATCCTTGTAGAATAAATAATCATCTTTTTTGGCACAATTAGAGCTGGAGATAGTACTCTCATGAACCAAGTCTTTAACCATGAAGTGTATAATATGTTTTAGTAAATTTTCATATTAAGTTGGTCGCTTCTCATAGGATGCTTGGTTTGATAGAACAAATTATGAAATGAGATTTTTGAGATGTTAAATCTTTCAATGTTAGCCACTCAATATGTAAACTGTCAGTCATGACATCCAGTAACTCTTTCCACAAAGGTTGCCCCTTTTCTTGTATCAGCTTTTTCAGACTCACTATCTTCCAAAACAATCAATGTTAATCCCACTGGATTATCTCTTACAGACTCTGCTTGAATTATTGTATCGGCTACAAGTTGATATTCTTCTTTGATGTCTTCATTCTTTCTTATGTTATTGTCTATTTTTCAATTGTTTCTTGCTCAATGAAATATATTATTCTTCTATTTGGGCAATTTGATTCAATATGCTCAAAATTATGGCACATGAAACACTTTTAGGTTGGGACATATTTGATAGTGCTGGTGCTGGTTGACTCCACTTTTTTTCCATTTTGTATTGATTTTTTTTTTAGGCAGGGTTGACTTGGATGCTCTACTAGTTGTACTTTTGTTGCTAGATCTTAAGTTTGAACTCTGTTTGTAAGGTGTGATGGTCTTCTATTGATGTTACTGTCTCTTTACCTTTATGCTTATTGTTTGGACATCTTGTAATGTCAAATAGGGTAATAATTGTATCACGTTACTAATGAAGGGTCTCAATCCCTCTAGATATTGAGCTATTGTGTGCTCCTCTGGTTCCACAAAAACTCATAATTCTGCATGAGTTGATCAAATTCAACTTTGTATTCCTCCACAAAAGAACTTCTCCGGGACAAGTGATTGAATTTTATGAACATATCTTATTAGTAATGTGTGGGAAAATATTTGAGCTGCATCTCTCTTTTCATCTTAGACACGTGCTGATCTTACTATTCCATTCTCGCTGTCAAATATGTTTCAGTTCTTCTATCACAAAGAAGCGTTTTTCCTGGGCTTGAGGGCTTTAAATTTAGTTCTCTTATCATGGGGAACATTTTTGTACTAAAAAATTTGTACCAATATTTGGAGCCACTTGATAAACTCATTTGATCTATGCGGCCGTCAAAATTCGGTAAATCTATTTTTACTTCAAGATTCTGTTTATTTGGATATTCTATGCCAAATTGTCGGGATATTAATTCTACATTACTAGAAATTTTCTGATGGAAGAGATTTACTTCCGCCCCTTGTTCTGGAGAGCAACATTATGGCAATGGGTGACCTTACCATATATTCTCTCGAAGGCAACAAGCTTCATTTGAATGATTTTCACATATCCTCCATAGTGAGTTTCAGGATACCTCAGTGAAGATTTCTCATTGGCGGCATGACGTCCTGTTCTTTTAATAAAAGTTTTGACAATAGAAGTAAATATTGTTTAGGGGGTTATAGCTAAGGTTTGGTGGATGATGTGGAAATTTGTTTTGGTCAGAGTGTTGGGTTAGATTGCATGAATTTTTGGTTTAGGCATAGGAAGGACAAATTTTTAAAAATTTAGATTTTGTTAGGCTCTGATATGAGAATGATTAGGTGGATGAGCGACTTTACACTTAGAGACAAAATGTGGAATGAATATATTCGTGATAGGGTTGGTGTAGCTCCTGTGACAGACAAAATTAGAGAAAGTCGTCTTAGATGGTTTGGTCATATTAAACGTCGACCATTAGATGATCCGATTAGGAGAGTAGATGTTTTAGATTCGACTTGTGTTAAGAAAGGCAGAGGTAGACCTAGGAAGACTTGGGCTTATTGTATTAAAAATGATCTTAATTTACTAGAACTAAATGAAAATATGACACTAAATAGGACGCAATGGAGAAAAAGGATTCATGTAGCCGACCCCACGTAGTGGGATTAAGGCTTTGTTGTTGTTGTTAGGCTCTGATATAAGATAATATTGTTGTATATATCCTAGAAGGTGTTTAAAAAGTGGATCTTGTGGGGATGTGTTTGTGGGATCGTAAGGGAATTAAAATAGGGATTGTCGATAATTTTGGGAGGGGGATAAACATCGCTCAGTGGTTGTACAGGTTGAATACAACAAAGAGAACTCCAAAAGGATAATGAAGTGACGACGAAGAGGTTTCATCACCCGCTCCTGACAAAGATATAGACACATCACTTACAGAGGAAAATGAAATAACACGCTGATGAGCATAAACAAAGCATAACATTTCCAAACATAATATAATATCAAAATTCCCTTAATAAAAACAAACATATACTTCTCCCTTGCAGAAATAATCCTAGTTATAAAGAAAGAATATGAGGTAAGACTAGAAAAGAAAATGAATTATGTTAAATTTGATAATGGTCTTTAAAAAATCATGAAGCAACTTTCATGGGGCGGTGCTCAAGCCCAACCCCATCTCACGGTCACGGGAATGCGGAATCTGCAATTACGCGGGATTTTGTTGAATGCAGAACTTTTCTTCCGCTTCATCGCCATCTAAGTTGAAATATTTCTTGAGCTATGAACTTTAACAGTATCTTCCTAGAAGAAGCTAAGAGAGTTGTAACTTTCTTCTGGGGCTTGAGTCGATCAAAAGAAGATGACATTGAGTGGTCTAATTGGTAGGATAAGATTTGGGGTTGATGTGGCGAGTAGGTGAAAATAATTCAATTGGAAGATGAATAAATGGGAAAGAACACTCGTGAAGCTTTTTTCTTATGATAAACGGGTCATTCATATCCAGTTTATGATGAAATAAGAAAACTTTTCAATCCTTTGAATTTTGTGGCCTTTTTATTGAGTAAGATGCTAGAGCTTTTTTATCACCTTAATTGCGCCCCTTGGATGTCTTTTATATGAGCTATGATGTCACGTGATGTCATCTATATGAATGCCTAGCTTGTACTTTTTTTCTTCCTTTAACTATACCATTGAACTCTTATGAACCTTTTATTTGAACCCATGATTATACCTAAATGGTTAGCCTTACGTTGGGGGATTTTATTAGCCTGTTTGATGTGGAAGAAGGTTCAATCTAATTGGTTCTTATTGGAAAACACCATTTATAAGTTTGTTAAATTGAATTTAATTGTTTAGATGTAAACTGGATTGTAGAGAGAGAATTTAGAAAGAGAGGGAGCAGAGGAGGACCAATTTTGGAGAATCAGAGAGAGAGAGAATTGGGCATGTAGAAGTGAGCCTGAGGATGTGCGAGGGCGAGATGAAAAAAATTAAGGTTTTCATATGAGAGAGATGGTTGAATTAAGTACGAGAGAGAAAGAAGGAAGTGAACATAATATATTGGGGTTTGTTTGTGTGCAGCAAAAAGATATCGCACTTTGATTCTAAAGGAGTGGTTTGTGGTTTGAAAAGAAATAAAAAGATTCGTAGTATTTTAAAAACTTTTTATAATTGATATTCAAAATAATATCCATCCAACATATACTTGTGGGCTTTGGGTCTACAAAAGATACATCCATGCTATTTTAAAAGTTAAATACATGTACATCCTAAAATCTTATCTTGTAATGCAAAACAATATTCTAAAATATAAATGCATTTAAAATTGGAATAACACCTAAGATAATATTAAATTACTATCATAATGTAGTTGTAATCTAGAATAATTTTGATTCATGTTTATTACCGCATAACTCCTACTCTTGCATCAACATGTCACGGACATGATTATTGCCTCAACTTCCTTGCTCCACCAAACGTTACTTATCATAAAGTGTTGTTGATCATTGAAATTCTGATATTTCTTTCTCATGCTACATTCTCTTTCTGTTGGTTATTTGTTTTATTTGGCCCTCAATTGGGTCACCTTAGGCTTCTACTTTTACCTTTCCTCTTCCCAACTACATCATTTGAAGCAATGCAAAATTTTCTCAATTTGCTGCTTAATGTTGTTGATAAGGGTGTCTTGCTCGACTAGTTTTTCATTGGGCCTAACCAAGTTTTAGCATGAGTCGATTCCAATCTAACTTCGAGCTAGATTCCATGGATTATTTTTCGTTCAAACTTGTGGTTCACCAACATGGGTATAATTGAGATATATTCCTCTATAATCGTTATCATGCCTACCAACGACTTATAAATGTACATACATCTCATCTGGATCATCCAGAAGCTAAT